GCAATGATATCAAAAATTTTGAAAACCTCAACAACATCTCACTCAATGATCAAAAATTGCATTTCACCAATACCGGCTTTCTCTTATCATCACCACATAATTTTAATATTCCTTCTTACTTTATTTCCTCCTTTAGATTTAGTACAAACTAGTTGAATTTTTAGATCAGTAGCAACCACGCCTCTTGTACTGGATGGTTGATCCTATTCTAAATTTATTTAGGTAGGTTAGTCTGGAACGATGCAAGGTTGATTTTGATTTAGCTTTATTGTTAAATAGAAATTTTTGTACTCTCTATCTTGTAATTTGTAATGTTATAAGACTTTACTTTACTCTTAAATAAAGTTTGTGCAAAGCTACCGCACGTTAAAAAAAAAAAAAAAAAAAAACTATTATTTTTTTATATCTTTAACATATTTTAATATATAATTTTTTATATAATAATTTAAAATAAAAAGAATAATACAATTCTAAAAATAATATTGATAATTATTATAAAAAAATAAAACCTTTTTAATATATAATTCTTTTTTAATACTATCATAAATTTACTAATATCAAAAATTTTCAAATATATTAATTAACATTATAATTTATTATTATAGTTTAATTAATAATTATAATAATTTTACTAAAAATATATAAATAATTATATATAAAATTTATTATATAATAAGTATAAATACAATTATATAATTGAATAAATAATATTAATCAAGAAATAATTTTTTTAAATCAGTAGATAAATTTATCAATTAAACAATTATAAAAATATAAAAATATGATTATATAAGTTTTTTTAAAATTCATTTTATAATTTTTATCTATTTAACTTTTTTATAATTTAATTATTGTATAATTTATTTTAATAATCTTTTATTATATAATATAAAATTTATTAATTAAAAATAAGAATTTTTAATTAAAAATCTAGATTAATAAAATCTGATTCATTTTTTTAAAAATTATATTAAAATTTTTTTTTTATTTGTTATATTATTTAAACTTTTTAAAAATAAAAAATAAAAATAAAAATAGTAATTTAAAATTAAAAAATAAAAATAATAATTTAAATTTAAAAACTAAAAATAATAATTTAAGTTTAAATATTAAAAAAAATTATAATTATTTAGTTATTATTTTAATATTTTTAGATAATTAATGATATGACTTGTATTTATTAATAATATATTTAGTAGCTTATCTTATAGTCCTTTATTATATATCTTTATATATCTTTATAATTAGTTTAAAGTAAAGTAAAGAACTATAAAATACTACGAAAAGTAATAAAAATGTTCTATTATTTACTTACTTGATTATTGAATTAATGTAGATTAGCTAGTTACAGTCAACTTTTAATATAGCAAACTCTTAATATAATGAATTTTTTGAATAAATAGAATAAAAATACTCTTGTTATAATAAATTGGCCAATCAAATCTTTTAAAATCTTTACTATAGTCTTATAGCGAAGTTGAGGTCTAGAATATAGAGTTCATTATAACAAGAGTTGACTGTATATATTACGAATAGTTAAATTAATTTACGCATTTATTAATCTTATTATACTGATAGAAAATCATTCTAGACTTAATAACAATTCCTATTTTTCTAGTTTTTATATAAATTTATAAATAGTTATAAAAATTTTTGTATAAATATATATTATTTAAAAAGTGAATATAATTATGTATAAATGTATTAAATTATTTTTGTAAAGTTTATTATTTAATATAATTTATTAATTATTTTTAAATATATACATAAATCTATTTTAATAAAAAGATAATTTTATATAATAATAATATTATTATTATTTATTTAACATACTAATACTTCTAGAAATAGATTAAAAAAATATTAAATTTTTTATTTTCTTTTACATACTTTTTTAACTTTATATTTTCTTATTTTTTACTTTTATTTTATTATTCTTAAATTTTTAGTATACATATTTATAATTTTATATGCAATTTTTTTTTTATTTTTAATTAAATATCTTATTGATAAGCTTTTTTTTTTACTTTTCAAATCTCTTAATTACTTTTATCTATTTTTATTAATTTTATTTTCTATTTAATTTGTTTTATTTTTTATTCAATCTACTTTATTTTTTATTTTCTTAATTAAATATTCTTTTCTATAATAATAATATAATTAATTTTTAAAATATATAGTATTTTAATTTTAATTATAAAATTTTGAGTAATGAAATTAAATTTACATAATATTATTATTTTAAATTTACTTAAAATTTTATATAGTTATTTTTTTTAAAATCTAATTAATAATTTAATAATACTAAAATAAAAATAAAATAAATTTAATAATAATAATATATTTATAACAATCTCAATTTTATCTAATAAAAATTAAAGATCAGGTATAATAAATAATTTAGCAAAAAATGTTTTAAAAATTTACTGGTTATACTATAAATTTAAAGATTTTAAAGGCTAAATATTAATAATTTTATGTAACTTAAAGAAAATTAATCAGTATATTTGCTTCATTTTATTATAGAAATATAATTTAAAGAGATTTTTAACTTTTATCTTATTACTATATTTATAGAATATAAAAGAATTGTTTTTCTTCTTGCTAATTGCTTCTTTTTATTTATAGAATAACTGGTGAATTGTGAAAGAAATTTCATATTTATTTATTTTAATCTTAAAATTTTTATATCTTTTGCTTAAGTTGAAAGAATTCTTAAATAGTAATATCTTATAATAGATTCTCAATATTAATTAGTAACAATCTCTACTATAAAATAGACTATTTCTCACAACTTTAGATATAATTATTCTATTATTTCACTTAATAAAGATAGCTATAGATCACATTTTGCTATATGCTAGAACTTTAGTATTAATAACCTAATCATTAAATAAATTATAAGAACAAATGATTACTTAATTTTAATAAAATATTTAATTCTTAGTTAAAATTCAAAATAATATAATTTTATAAGCTATAAAGAATGTATTTTGAATAATATATTAGCATATTAATTCAAATTTATGAAGAAAATTTATGTTAGATATGTTTATTCTATTTCTATTAATTTTTGTATAAAGATAATAGTTTATAATATAAGAGTAAGTTTATCCTATTTGTGATCTATTTCTCTCTTTTGTAAAATTGCTTATATGTTTTATTTAACAACATTCTTAACTTTAAACTATATAATATTGACTGATATGACTAAGATTGCTAAATAAAACTTAGGTTATCTAAATAAAAAAAGATAAAATTTAGTGAATTATATTAAAACTTTATTAAAAAATTTGCAAAATTCTGGAAAAGATAAACTTATATCAAAGCTTATAAAATGTAAAACTATATTAAAACCTTAGTAAAAAATTAGCAAAACTATAGTTTAGATATTTTGGTAAACCTAAAATGAGTTTAGATAAGCAACCTTAAATATAATAAATAGAATTTTATATATAAAAAATTTTTTACGTTCTAGAATATATATAAAAAATAAAAAAGAAAAAATATATGATATAGGTAATAAAAAAAGCGATAATATTATATCTGCAATGAATAAATTTACTTTATATTAAAAATTAAATTTATATTTTTTTTATTTTGAAGAATATATTAAAAAATAAGCATATAATAAGATTTTTATGATTATTAAAAAATTAGAAAAAAAATAATTTAATTGAAGATAACAGATAATATTATATTATTATAAAAAGATATATAATAATTAAATAAAAAAATAAAATAATTTGAGTATTTAAATAATATTAATAAATATTTTGAATATAATTTAAATTCTTTATATACTATTTTAATATTAATAAAATTTTAAAAATTTATGTTAAATTATATTAAATAAAAAGTAAATTTATTCATCGTAGGAAGCGATACTCCTTATACATTACCTTTATATATATACTTAACCCTAACTCTAATCCTAACCTAACTCTATACCATGTGATACGAATATACATGACAAATAGGGTTTTACACATGAAAAATTTCTAAGTCCCTAGAATATATATGAAAATGAAAAAGGGAGAGGTATGACATAAGTGATAAAAAGAAAATGATGATATTGTGCTTGCGATAAATAAATTTACTTTTAAATAAATATATTTATATAATTAATTAAAATATTTAAAAATTAAGTATTTATTAGAAATAAAATACAATTAAAAAATTTACAACTAAGATATTTATAATATTATAATAATAAATATTAATTAAAAAATAAAGTATTAATAGCTTTTAATAGTAACATACATTTTTAATATCTTATAAATTTATTATCTTAGCTTTATATACTATTTATATATTATGAACTATTTCATATTATATTAAATGTCTTATATATCTTATTTATCAATATTTTATCTATAATAATTTTCTATAATAATATTAGTTTTAAGATATTTAATTAAGAAAATAATAATTAAATCAAAAATTCTTTAATTAAATATTTTAAAAAATCTATTATAAATTATAAAAATAAAAAACTTTTAGAATCTTTAATTATATATAATATTATTAGTAGTAAAAATCAAATTAAATGTAGTTTATAGTAATCTTGATTATAATCATGTTATATACCTATCAAATCTTATATAGATAATTATATCATTAAAATAAATATATATAAAAAAATATAATTTGAACATTAATTACCTAATATAATATTTTAATAAATAGCAATAATTAAATAATAAAATTAAGATTAATTAATCAGTTTTGAAATTAAGCTAAAATTTAAGTTTAATAAAATCTAAAATCTATGTCAAATAGACATTTAGCGATACTGTTATTCTCTTGAAGATTCTTCTAACGTCAACTGAAGAAGTTCATTTAGTTCAACTCCCTGACCTTCTTCGGTAGTGAAAACAATTTCTAATTCACCCCACTTCGTTTGAATTAATAAGTCAATTCTGAATCTAAATTGATATTTTTAGTTCACACTCGAAGGGTTTGAGGAAATAATATCATTAGAAGAGCAGAAAATAGAAATGGAAACCGGTAAAAGCAAGGCAAAAGAAGCGCGTTATCGATCCGGTACTAAGCAAACAAGTTATCAATACGCTTTATGCTGTTTCAATTATTGAACATTTACGTAAGAAATCAATCATTGAAGATGATGTTTATATGATGCTTGGATAAGACTATGGAGAGCACGAATTTACCTGGTTCGTATTAAAGGATTTCATCTTTTCTCAATTTGAATATATCAACTCATCTTTCATAGTTGTTTTTAGGCGAAAATTGAAAGAGAGAATGTCTCATAATGATCAAAATGATTTATCTGACTTGGAGTAGAACAAAAATCATCTATAGAAATCAAACAGGCTTCTTTAATTTGGCAATGATGCATTTGATAAAGTAAGATATTAATTTTTTTTTTTTTTTTTTGTAAAGATATCTAATTTATTTTTATCGATTAAAATAAAAAAAAAGATGATTGGATTGATTCAAACTCGATAGGGTCTTTCTATCCTTAAATCAAAATATGAGAACAAATATGTAATCAAATCAATCTTCATAGCTAAAGATCTTCAAGAATATGCGAGCCTTTTTCATAATCACAGAGAAATAATTTCTGGGAAAATCAAGATCTGACGACAAGGAAGGTCTTTCGGACATTTGAAGTGATTTCAAATATTCGTCCTACAGTGGAGTGAAGTCAATGTTGAATCATTATCAAAATGGGCTTTTGCATAAGAAAGATGCTAAACTTTCAAAGAAGTGTGATCAAGTTATATTATTTTTTATGTCAGAACCTTTTCCTAGTCGAACATTTCGGATGCATAAGCTTATGATATTGAAAATTCTGGCACTTACTTCTGGAAAAGATGTCAATAGTACAATACTGCAGCCGATCTGGAAGATATTGTTCTGCAATGAAATACGAGAACGTGTATGTGGATATACTACTCAAGTTCTATATGCTTTAGTAAAATTTGAAAATTCAAAAGGCTATCAAATTTATTGGCTATGCACATATCAATTAAGAAGACTGATGATATGAAAACAGAATCAATTTTACGTGCATTATCGCATTATCTAAACGAGATATTAAATTAATCAAGTTTCACGGAATTCATCAACAAGATATCGTGGTGAAAGATTGGAAAATGCTTTGCAATTTATGGTACAGTTAGAGTTCTGAGAGGAGTTTCTACATCTTGTGATGCTTAGCATGGATGAAACTCGGAAATGAAACTACCAACTAAACAAGCTTAATCGATTAGTTTATTCGATTGATTTATTACAATTCTCCTAAAGATTGATATAATATTTCAAACCATATATATGCTTATCCACCGGATTGTCATATTTATCTATTGGTTGTTATATTACGTAGTTCAAAAATTAGTTGAGAAATTCACGCATGAGAAATTTTAGATGGATTTTTGGGAGGTGATATTAAAGGTGATGGCGATGTGCTAAATTTCTGTTTGAGATTGTGCTGCAATAAAGAAAAAAAATTTTTTATTTAATAAGATTAAACCGCGTGTAGGTTTTATGTTGATTGGAAAATTTAATAGTTGATGATTTATCTAAATTTGACGTGCTAATTGGATAAGTAACCCTATGAGAAATATATTCGTGAGGTGTCCGGAAATTTCTGGAGTATCCACTTATTCTGGACATTTTAGCGATTTCTAGTCGTAACTGAATATGGTTTTCCGTCTGAATTTAAAATTTGGATGTTTAAAAATCATTGATAGAAATAAAAGAATGTATATTATAAAGACTTTCATCTTTAAATCTTTCTGTATCGCCGATGTATTATTTATAATGATGTAGTTACTATAGAATTATTTCCATTTGATTTAATATCTAAACTATAAACAACCTCAATTTATTAATTAAATTATTTTTCGTTCCAACATAAATTATTTTATTTATTTTAAAGATAATAAACACGTGTTATCTCTTTTTAAGATATGATCAAATATTCTTAAAGCCGGGAAGAATGTAGGAATTATAGACGGATTGATATTGATCACAGCGTATTCTTTCTCTATCTCTCTAGTGAATGGAACTTTACGATAATGTCTGATAATTTATATAAATCAAAGAACTTAACATCATCCTCTTCGAAAATATTAATCATAAACCTCTCAGTCAGTTTGTTATATACTCAAGAAACTGATCTGACTTTGAAACAGAAGACTCACCAACTGAGGAAGATTATTTTAGTTTACCTCGTCTTTTATTAAAAAATTTGGTTCGTTCTCTTGGCGATCCAAAGTTCTTATGGTCCCTAAAAACGACAATAGTTCAATTAATTTATTAACAACAAAATTTAATAAGAATCTGATCAAGAACATTATTTATATATTTTATAAAGAATTTGAAACTTATTAAAGTATATATAATAATTATGACATTTCTACTTTTTACATTATTACATTATTACACTTCTACTTTCATATTACACTCTACTATATTATATAATATTTTCTTGTCCAATATTTTATTACTTTTATTTAACAAGTGATTTGGGATACTGCTGCCGAAGGTGTCTCGATATATATTAATTATTGTGATCAAGATGCTATGGATGCGGCCCCTGTTGGCAAAACGTGTCTTTTAATCAGTCACATTACAAATGCTTTCCCTGGCGAATATATTCCAGCCGTGTATGTATATCAATCTGAAGATTATTATTGATTAAATAGAATATTTTTAACATATTTTATTTTCATTTTTTTAGATTTGATAATTATTCAGCTAATATAATGATCAATCAACCTTGGCCTTTGGGACACAGCTGGCCAAGAAGATTATGATAGATTACATCCACTTTCATACCCTCATATATCCAAAAGAAGCTGAAACTGAAACGAACAATGAGGAAACAACTACTACTACTAATAATGGCACTGCTTCTGTTGACGCTTCTGGAGGAAGCATTTCTAATGATATAGCGAGTCAAAAACCCGAGTCTATGGATGTTGACGCTCCTTCAGAGTGGGAATCCCGAATTTGACGATCTCGCAGAATGGTTTACTATTATAATCGTAGAATCAAGGAAAGTACTTGGATCCTCCTGTAGGCGTTGATCCCGATACCATTAGAGGATACGCGAGTCAAAATATTCAAGAATTACAGAGTATAACCCGTTGGAAGGTGGAGAGGGTCAAATTAGAGCTAGTCATTTATTGGTCAAACATGACAAGAGCAGGCGTCCTA